TATTTGGGCATTAAATCATTGTATAACATTATTTTTAGCCTGATGACATAAGAAAAATTACTGATGATCCCAAGCTTTTGAAGTTATGGAAATGGTTTTATCATATCCTTCTTGTAATATTATTGTTATTAAAAACATGCTTTTTGAAATGAAATATAATATTAAATGAATATTATCCAATTTCCTTTTTATAGAAAACCTAACAAACTAGGCATCAAACGTCTCGAGGATGCAAATGTTTAGGCGTTTGATAAAAAAATTAAATGAAATTAAACCTGGGTAAGGTCAGTGATTGACTGTTAATTCACTTGGAACTTTTTAGTATCATTATTTTTATTATCTATGATTGATTGTTCAATGTTATTTCCCCTTAACTAATTCTTAAAAGCAAAAAGACTCAAGGAGCAAGGTGAGGAATATAAAAGTAGCTTTAATTGACWTTTTCCAGAAKAGACATAAGTTTGTGCCTTATTATTTTGCTCTTGAACATGAGAGCATCTGTTACTGAGAATATAAATCCCAGTGAATTAAATTATTTTGTTAAAAGMCAATAAGATCCAGTCCAACTCAAAGCTCAAACAGTCTTTCRTGATTCATAGGAAACAGAAAGAAAGTTCATTTCTTTGGTGTCAAAAGCGTCATAAGTGGAGAAAACAATTCAGGGACAGCTGGAAYGTCATCTAAAAGTGTTGTAGATATGTCACGACAAGAACAGAGAGTCAAAGCAGTCACATATATCAGTGACGAAAGGTAARATAAAGTTAAGCATTGGAAATCAGTAGTTCAATATCAGTAATGTTGGTACTGGAAATTATTGCAATTGTATTGCAAAACTTAGAAAGTTCTAAAAAACTTGTAAGACCAACCACAAAAAAAAATTAGAATGATTATTCCCACATACAATTGCATATAAGAYTTGTTATTTTGGACATCATGAGAGCAAAAACTGAAGTTTCTTTTATGTATTTATGAAGGAAAATGGCTTTGTCACTCTGTGGATGGAATTTCTCTAATGGTAGTGGACCTTTACAAGACTTTTTAAAAAGGTATAAAGCTATAATTRAATGYGCTTCACATCYATAYAAAAAAGTATAAAAAGCCATTGTTAAAACAGCAWTTTTTTTTYCACTTAYAATAGACTCCGAGAACGTGGCATGTATGAGAGAGCTGCTACCATTGCTTTGTTTAACAATGATATTCGACAAGCAATTGAGATTTTGAGTTCTGCATCTAAAACAGTAACATATGAATCCAGTAAGCGTTCATCAGGTATGTTTGGAGAAAATTGCTATCAATCTTAGACACCCTGAAACAGTGAAACCCTAGTCAGCAGTTAAGTGAGGAACAGTGATCATTTTAGTCTTGGAAATACACCATGTAAAATTACAGTGTGATCATGGTATAGTCATTGTTTTTTTGGAATGACTGTATGTCTTCATTTATATCACACATAAACTTAACCAGATATTATATTTATTGTTTATAATCTTTCTGTTTTCTATTTATCAAACATTATATTGGAATTTTATTATCTTTGATTCACTAGTTTCCAGTACCACACTAAACATGATTGCGATGGCGCTGTCAGGGTATACTCCAGAAAAAGACGCATTGTGGCGGGAGATGTGCAGGAAACTAAGCATAGAGGTATATAATATACAGCAATAGTATWTTTTTATTTTCCTTCATGATACTTTGACAAGAAAATGTTGTTTTTACTAGATCAGTAGTCCCTAYTTAAGAGCAGCATTTGTTTTTCTTACATCAGAAGATGAGAATTTCGATAGTATTCTGGTATGTATTTTGTAATKTTTGACTACAATTATTCATGGAATTTAATTCATACATCAGTCTATAACAAACTATTTCAATCACCATCTCTTTGAGCAGCAAGAACCAAGAATTGAAGTGGAAGACCGAGTAGCCTTCGCTTGCAAATTTCTACCTGATATTAAAGTAAGATCACCTTTGACTTTTTTCAATGATGTTTTAATGCTTAGTTCAAATCTGCTCTGCAAGGCCTTTTCTGACATATAAAATCGTGGTRCATTGTGGTCTACTTACATTTTGAACCGAATCTAGACCACAATGCAATGTCTAGTGCTGTTTCAGGAAAGACATTTACAACAGACAGGTAACTTTCTCATGCGTCAAAATTGTCAAAAGCTCACTCTTTGGCAGTCTTCTTCAGTCATTATAAAAATAAAAAAAAATTGTACATGATATGTTACGCATTGTTTTAATAAAGACTCTTACATAAATTATAAACAATTTGTTTTTCAGCTTACAAATTTTATTAATTCTTTGACCACAAAGATGATTGAAACAGGAAATCTTGATGGAATCCTGTTGACAGGTACACTGGCTTAGTTATTTTAGACAAAAATTTGTATTTTGAATATTGGCAATTTTTTCAAAATGTTTTATAATAGTTTTTTATAATATTTTTTGATTAGGTATAACACCTGATTGTGTTGATCTTCTTGAGAATTATGTAAACAAGGTACATAGTATCAATAGATATCAATGTTTTATAAAATTTAA